GTTTCTCTTTATCATAAAGACAATAAGGTGCGCGGAAACTCATTATCTACTTTCCTATTAAATAGAAATACATTTAGGTGAACACCGCCTCTAATACTTTACCCTGCCCAGCCATCGAGCGTTTATCATTCGATAAATGTGATGAAAAGAATTTATTTCGGCTCTGTGTCCTCACCCCCAATCTGATCAATCTTAGGGTGCAGCGCAAGTCAAGTCACGACGACTGTGATGGTATTACTATTGCAAATCTCATCTCTCGACCCACACGTCAATTGTACATAGCTGGTGACGCCACCAATATCGGTGACATACAGTACTGCTCAAAATTATGCGAATAAAGATTTTTTAGTTCTAATTTTATTTTCACTTTTCCTTTTACTTCTTGATTTGATCTAGCTGTCTGCATAATCTGAGTTGATATTCGGATAGAGCACACTTGAATGCATATGTGAAGGCAGCTAGACCAATTCAAGAAGTAAAAGGAAAAGTGAAAATAAAATTAGAACTGAAAAATCTTTATTCTTATAATTCTAAGCAGTACTGTATATCGCAATTTCATCGAGAAACTGATCGATTGCTATCGATGGTCTCTTAAACAATTAACACTGTCCATCTCTTATTCTGCCCTAGTGAAACTTCTTGTATCCAAGATCTTGGATTAAGAAATGTCACAAGAACTTGGATTCTTGGATCTTTCACTCAAGATCTTGAAACATCTTGGCTTACTTCACTCAAGATCTTGGCCCAGAACATGGGTTCAGAAATTTCAAGATCTTGAGTGAAGCCAATCAAGATGTTGCAAGAGCCTGAGTGACAAATTTTCATTTACATTTCGTTTTTATTTATGACAGTCGTAGCCATTGGATATACGACTAAACAGAGTCGCAGATTCTTCCTTAAACAACTATGATCAAGAAGAAAAAAAATTCGAACTTATTCGAAGTGTGAAAATATTCGTATTTATATTTACACAAGAGTGTAAAACAAAACGATGATTCAAGGATTTCCAAGATCTTAGTACAAGAAGTCAAGAAATTACAAAATGTACAAGATCCTGACTTCTTGAAATTTCTTAGATTCTTATATTTTCTTACCAAGATTTTGAATCAAGATCTTGTTGGAAAAATTCAAGAAGTCAAGATCTTGGTTACAAGAGGGTGGTCTGTACGGATAATTTTGGCCCACTAAAAAAGGCCAGGTTTTTAGGTTTTATCCTATGCCGAAATCTGTCTTTCTTGAAAAGTTATGATTCTTATATTATTTTTTGCACTCTTGCTCGTATGTTTTAACAAACACTCCATGCAAGCTGAAAATCTTCTGCAAGGCAGAACTAGTGGCGGCGCCAGGATCTTTCTGGTGCCTGGGCTCAGTCCATAATTTTTCAAAAATCCGTTCAGAATTTTTACGTGACTATTGCTAGTGAGTACTCTGTTTTCAAATTTTTGAATGATTGGGCTCAGCCCACCCTAGCCCTGCCCTGGCGCCGCCACTAGACGGAACCTTTTATGTCTTAGTGGAAAGATTCAGAATACCACTGTTTCAAAGTCAAAAAAGGACCTACCATAGAAAATTACGTCACATATCAAAATTTGATGTTTTTTTCTAAACGTAATTTTCTGATAGAACAAGAAGCCTTATTCGCACTCGGTGCGGTTTTACTACATATGAGACCATTTTTGCTCGAAAAAGGGAGTGGGCCGATTCCTAACCTTCCCCTACTTTCTCGTTTCTCTGAATACGTCAGAATTTTATTATCGAATTGTGTTGGCAATGTTCTAGGTATTTATTTTCAATTTAGTTGAGAGAAAAATTTACAAAGACAGTCTCGACGACTGCGCACGTAGTAAGAGCCAACTCATGTTTCCAAAGTTTGGACTTTTCTGTAACCAGTACAAAATACTATTGATATCATGCGATTGTACTTAGACTTTTCTCATTGAAACTTTTTTTAGTTCTGACTTAAGTTTTTACCGAAGATTCTAGACTCCTATACGCTCGGATGTTTTTTCGATTTATCGGATTTGATCTACTTTCGTTTGTAGACGCTTGAAGGTTTCTGAACAAATGTTTGGCGCTCTCCTTTTGGCTCTCTGCGCTTTCACTCAAAAAAAGAGTAGGGAGATCATGAGTAGGGACAACCATCCGATAATATCTATGTCTATGAAAAATTTGAGTCCAAACTGGTAAAGTTTTGATAGGGTAAGCCTATATGTAACGAAAATCTATTCTCCTAGAAAATCCTACTGAACATGATTTCGGAGATTTAAGTGTAAAAGTTGTCTTCTTAGTTTTAGACACAAGCAGGTAAAAAAACAAATTTGGCACTTATAGTGCAAATGAGTATGTTTTGTTTTATTACTTTCTCTTGTCTGACATATCACATGTATATTTTACAGGTAAAAATGTATTTTGCCATACAAATACGATGTAATAAAATGTCAGTACTAGCGCTGATTTCAAATTCAGATCATTAAAGGTTGAAAAAGAATTTCTCTACCGTTTGTATCATATGAAAGTTTACACAGTTATTTATATTCATTAACGCCCTAAAAATCTTCTCTCGTGTAATTTTATTTCTCCATATCTTACCATTGTTGTCGAAAACGTCAACATATAATTAATATCCGATGAAAAGAAAAATCAGATTATGGTTCACGTGATTAACAATAAAAAGCAGAAGAGAGAGAAAATATATACTGCTGTGCCTAGTTTTTATTCACTTTATTCTTTTTTTGATAAAAATGATCTACCAAAAAGAATATTTTCTCTCCTACATAGGTACAAAAATGAGTAGAGAAAAAGGTCAGTAAATATAAAAATTCATACTACTAACGACATAGTTTTCTCCTGAAAAGAACAAATTATACTATTCTAATACATAAAGTGACGAGAGCACGTTTCAGAACATTATGAAAAAAATACTAGTTCTTTTATACACATTATCCGCCTTAATCCTATTCGTTCATTCGCTAACGTCAATTAACTGTACGTGTGATACTAGCTCCATTCAATGTAATGTATTGAGTTCAGATGTTATTCTCACAAATCCGTGTTCGAGTGTAAATCCGGTGATACTGAATGGAAGTATGCAGTTATTGAACGGTGTTCAGTTGCCAACATTTCCTGGAATACAGATATTGACTGTGCAGAATTTTCTTCTATATGGCCAGATATTAGATAAATTTCCTGCACTTACCACTCTCACTATCACCAAATGTGTGTACAATGCCACAGCAAAATTTCTGGAACCATCATCCAATGCCACCATAACGAATTTAACAATGTCAAACAACAATCTGTTGGACGGCTTGATACCAGAGAATACGTTCGAAGAGCTAGATGACTTAACGACGGTCACGCTCATCGAGCCTAAACTGAATACCACGTCAATATCGATAAATTCTGAAAGAAAATTAGCCACCCTAGTTCTCGAACTCGGTTTCTACCAACAATTTGACTTGAACGATTGGACGGACCCATTGCTGTTTTTGTCGACGTTTGAAATACGAAATCTTACCACGCTGAACGTTTTTCCCGCCGGTTTCTTTAGTCGTTTTTACAATTTGAAAACGTTAACATTAGGCGGTACATATCGATTGACAAACAAAAATATTTGTGCATTCTGCCGTTATCCCCAACCACCCGGAGGACCAATAATCGTGTTTAACTCTGCTAACATGCCTCAGAGTGACACATGTGTACAAATGTATGTCGATGCTATTTCGGAATCAGACGACTGTGATTTACCATGTGGAACGGAATCATCGTGTGAAACATACGCGGAGAAATCGAATTCGTGTGATTTCAATGATGTTGAGGAGAAGTGTAATGTAATACGTCCAGATTCCAGTCATTCAGAATCATTCACATACAAAGACAGTTGTCTTTCTAAGCGTATCGATGCAATGGGGGATAATGACGATGATCCATCGATTTCTCCATCACCACCAAAATCCGATCAACCGAATTCGATCAATGTCGGAGCGGTCGTTGGTGCCATTGTCGGTCTCACAGTATCGGTCATTGTTCTTTGTATTACTATCTTCTGTGTTCATCGATATCGACAAAAGAACAAAATGTACATCCACTCCGAAGATAAATATCGACGAAAATCAAACGCAGATTCGTACACAACGCAAGTTTCTGTAGCCACGAGTAAATCCACCGGTGAACCACTTTTCTCAGAAAACAAAAATGCCGTCGTTGCACCACCGCTATACAATGTGTCACAAACACCCTCTTCTCTTTATCTTCCATCAGCACCACCTCGATCCAGCGTCTCCACTCAAGCAACACATTTCTATGAAGAAGTGTTGAACACATAAAAGAAATTATAACGATCTTAAATATATTTTTTCTTTTATTTTTATAATATGTACAAAAGACGAAGTGTTTAACTTCAAATTTCATGGAGTTTAATTATTATATTCCGCTGGCGTTCTTACGACTAACGATTTTCGATCATCGTTAGCTGAAGAGAGTTTGATACTATATTCTGTGCGCAACCTGAATGGTTAAAAAGCAAAACTTTTTGTCTTCTCAGACGAAAGTTTCGCACATTCTCTTCTAAAGTTTTGTAAGAAAATACAGAATATGGTCAAATAAAACAATAAAAATATATCTCTGGCTGAATAAGCATTTTTCAACAATTTCCTCGTGGGGTAAAGACGATTTGAAGCGATCGTACATTCTTACAGACATCATAAACCTTTTAAAGGCAGTACCGCTGGTTTCTCTGAGTAAGTCAAAATTGAATGGTACGATCATTCCGCAAAAGATCGTGTTTCTATATGACAATTAATGCTATTTAATATTCCCGATCACGCAAAATTTTTCATAAAAATTCGAAAGCTCTTGATGGTTTATAAAACTTTTTTCGCTAACTTGAGAAAAAGACTTTATTTTTCGAAGAGAAAAACTTACATTCGGGATCTCCTCTTGTCCACGTAAAAGTCAACTTTACATAAGTCCGTAACATTTTGTGAAATACATAACTCTTCAGCCGAGCAACGTACGGAGTTGGGAAATGTGTTATTTTGTAGCTTAAAGATTTTTCTTTCAGATGGTAATTGAGAAAAGTCCAGCAGCTGACTAGTTTATGTGACATAATGTTTTTGGTATACGCCTCTTTCGCATACAAAGAGCCTTATTGGTGCAAATTATGAGTAGGTGCATAGGTCAGAGCTTGTTTAATTGACATCTGAAAGGAAATCTTTAAGTTACAAAATAAGACATTCCCCAACTCTGTACGTTGCTCAACTGGAGAAGCTATGAATTTCTTAGAACTTAAGTCCGTAAAGTTTTGTGAAATTCATAGCTCGCCAGTCGAGCAACGTACAGAGTTGGGGAATGTCTTATTTTGTAACTTAAAGATTTTCTTTTCAGATGTCAATTAAATAAGCTTTGACCTATACACCTACCTAGCATTCGCACCAATAAGTGTGATTAGTACGCTCAGGCAGGCCAATCTATGGTAAAAGTTTCACTTTTAAGTTTTGAACGGTTGTCACCAAGGATTAAAAAGCCCATTTCAGAATGGGTACAAAATTTCTGGAATGCCACTTCAGAATGGAGGAATGGCACTCTAGAAAGGTGCACTGCCATTTGAAACAAAAGAAATTTTTTCGGTTTTGATCTAAATCTTGGTCCACATACGACTAAGCTCGGCTTCTAAAAAACGGAATGACATTGAAGATAATGTTTGACCGAGAGACGCAAGAACAGAATCTATTGCTTAGTAATACAAGAATAGTATATTTTTCACACAAATATAAAGGTGGAAAAAGTTAAGAAATCTAAGATTTCAGTTTTCTCTGTTGACGCCTTAAATATCAAAATACCCGTAAATTTTGGAAACAGATGCGTGAACAGCGGAGAGTAGTCGCAGATTTGATTATTGATAATGTCAAAAATTTCAATTATTCATTCACTCTGTGGACAAATCGAAATTATATTTGAAAAAAATCGTCTAAAGGTTCACTATTGACTTTTTTTGTTTCATGACTTGTCATAAAACTTTTCAACCCTTTCAACCTAAAATCGCAGATTCAGTATTGCCAAATGCTCTTTCCAAGAGACAGATAGGACTTCATTTGAAGATTTATCGCTCACAAAAAACTTGTTTCTCCCAGTATCCCTGATTTAAGATTAATCTGTACCAAGTTTTGCACTTGGCAACTTTGTGATAGATATGTCATTTTTTTTCTGTTTTGAATTTATCGATAACTTTGATCATTGTATCGAATGTGACCATGAAAGTCGTGCATGAATTTTTAATTAGATAACCATTTTTCTCAGTGATAGAGCGTATCGTTACTTTAGAATCACGAGCAACAGACGCTTTTTAGCTTTCACTCGACTTTCTCTCCATATTTCACAATACTTTTATTTGTACTTTGTATTTGATATGAATTCACTATTGTAAACAGTTGAAGTTATGCTTTAGTATTATATTATTATATTTGTATATATTAAATGTAAAAACATTCATTGTTTTCGACGTTTCATTTAACAAATCTTTCAGGTATCAAAGTACAAAAACGGTATTGATCTTTACGCTTTTTACTTTAAATATGTGGTACTTATTTCTTTTCATCATCATTCATTTATTCATTCTTATAAGTATAGAACGAGAGTGTAAAATAGAACAAACAAACATTTATTCTATTCCGTTCTTGACTATAGTACGAAAGTATATATAGATATAGTGAATGACATATACACACGAAAAATAACTCAATTAATCATCGTCCATAAATTAATAGAAAAAGCGGATAGCTGATACTGGCTTGTTCATCAACGACTTTAGGGTAGAAGTAATATTTGCAAAAATTATTTTACTTGAATTAATTGATGCAAAAAATCTATTTTTAGTTTTCCGTTGTGTAAGAGAAAACTTAATTTTTTTTCTCAAGACGAATAAATGTTCAGATCAGAATAAAATAAGCAGCAGTCTATCAGCGACTTTTCTTGCTTCCTATTATTTTCTCTGATCATCGACTGTTAGAAATTATTAGCAGTATTTTAGACTTAAGGGTACCCTTCCTTCTTTTTGGGCCTTCCGTAGAAATGCTGTGAAATAAAAACTAAAAATCGCTACGGCTTCGTATTTACAGAACTGATTGGAAACTCAATGAAGCACTTTTTCGTTTTTGTTTCAAGTTTTCAGCTATTGCCATTCACCAGTTTTTCAGAAAACTCGGTTTTTTCATTGTGCCACATTACGACCTCTCTTAAATCTCATCCGATCGAGTTCAAAATTTTACCAGAGGCGCTCAAGGTCATTCCGCAGAGGTAATTTTTCGAAAATGTTTTTGAAACCTATTCTGATCGATTTATTTGAAAAATAGCGAAAAACGTTTCAAAAACCAAGTTTTTCAATTTTAGAAATCCTATAAAACGGTAATGAAAATCTAAAATAAAATTCCAAAAAGTTACCTCTGCAATAGTGTCTTGAGTACCGGTAAAATTTTGAACTCGATCAGATGAAATTTAAGTGGGGTCGTAATGTGGCGCAATGAAGCCTGGTTGCAAAAAAATAGTTTTCGAGAAAAAAAGTATTTTGTACATAGGTATCTTTTTTAAGAGCATTTGCCGCGATGCTTATATCTCCTCGAAAACTCATCGGAAAATTCTGTAAAACGTCTCATTGTGAAGAAAACATTTTCTTCTATTAGACTACGTGTAAGAAAAATTTTGCATGGACAAAAAATGAGAGAAAAGTTTATAAAACTAAAAAATTGAGTTTTTTTTTAGGTTTTGAAGGAAAAACTTCAAAAATTCATAACTTTTTGAAAAAAGGTCGTGGAGTACTGAGAGGGGTCTTATCTTGTAACCCACACTTTTCCCTACATTAGGTTATTCTCAACTCAAAATCCGAAATTTTTACAAAAAAGAGGAGGGGTATCCTTAATCAGTTCAAATGGCTACGTCTCAAAAGAGATACAAATCCAGATTTTACAATATATCTCGTTTAATTAATTAAAATATATCTCTTGTGAGAAACGAATATTTTGACAAGAAATTGCGTTTCTCAAAAGAGATACAATTATAAATATTAAATCTCTCATTTTTACATAATTCTGTGTTCATTACTTCTCAGTCCGTCGCATTCTAATTCTTATTGTTCCATTCATTGTGTATTTTTCGACTTTTCCGAAATTATTCTCTCTTTGTACATCGCCAATATCTCCATTGTTCATAATTGTTCACTCTTCTCTTGGATGTATGTTCAACCTCTTTTCTTTTTTCTTCTGCATTATATGAAGCACATAAATTTCAGTCTGTTGAATAATCAACTCAAAGAATAAATTCTTTAACAGTAAAGAATGGGAAAACTGCAGAGCACTCTAATATATTCCTCTGCATGTTGCCAACTTACTATGGAAACATCGTATAATTCTTGATATTGATTCCTCATCTTCCAAATTAATCACGGCTATTGTTGGATTATGAAATAAGCTAATTTTGGGTATACCTGTATCACTATGGTTCTGCCAAATAGAAAACACACAAAGAAGTGCACAGAATATAGAAAGATGTTTTGACGCACTCGAATACGACCAAAAGAAGAAAAGATATTTAATAAAATTGCGCGACATTATTAGGTAAATTTTTAACAAATACAACATCTTTTCTATATTGTTCAGGTTGAGTAAATGCCATTGGTAACTCATCATGTACTGCAATTAAGAAAAGATCAAAAGTTTTCAGAAGCAGAGCTTTTAGAATGCTGCTTTTACACCATCGTTTCTTCGTTTAAAATGGATGTATGATGAGCATAAGGTTTAATCGTACTTACTGGGATTGTTAGCAGTTGTTTGCATGTCAGTTGTCGCACCAATAATTATTGAACATGACACGACATTACCGCGAACGATGTTACCGCGAACGACATTACCATCAGATAATGACTAGTCACCACATAACGTCAGTTAAGTTTGAAAACATGATGTACAAAATACAAAACCGGCCTCATTTATTCGGCTTTTCCAACAAACAAGTCTTCGCGGTAATGTCGTTCTCTGTATTCGCGGTAATGTCGTTCTCTGTATTCGCGGTAATGTCGTTCGCGGTAACGTCGTTCGCGGTAATCACGGCTAAAAATGGATGAAAAATGAAGCAACTGCGAAAAGATTTCTTATGTTTTACTGAGATTATGGTACACTCAGCAATAAACAAAACTTTTCCACATCTTTTTTCTCGATTCTACATAATAAAATGACAGGTATTGTGCAAAACAAGTTTCTTCGACGCCCATTTCAGTAACTTTTTTGAAACAACTTCCGCGGCAGTTGTGTCACCTTCCGAAGCGGCAACCACATAATCTTCGCTGCTCGGACCTAACAAAGAAAAAGAATATATGTGATACGCTTTTTAAATATCATAGTTGTCATTAAAGATTTCGTACTATTGCTATTTTTTCTTGTTCGCTTTAGGGGACGATCTGTAAATATAAATAATATATTTTCCGCATTAAAGCTATGAATAAATCTAAAATTTGTTTTTTATTGGAGCTGTTAGGTTAGATTCATCTTACTAAATCGCTGTCATTTCTGCTTCAAAAAGCGGAGAAAGAAAAGCGTTTTTCATAACTTGCGAAAAAACTTAAATTTCGGTAACTATTTGTGAAATATAACTACGCCGTTCTAGATATCATAATGTCCAGATTAAACAGGGTTACGAATTCCAAACGAAGCAAACGTAACTCAATTAATGCAATTATTTCAGGTCAATTCTTTCCTCTAATGTAAAGTTTTATTGCTAAAATGCGTTTATTATTTATGTTTAAAGATCGCCCCTAAAGCAAACGAGAAAAAATAGCAATAGTATGAAATCTTTAATGACAGCTATGATATTTAAAAAGCGTATGACGTATATTCTTTTTCTCTCTTAGATTCGAGAAATCCCAAGAGTAAAACTCTTTCCATTCTGTATACAGTCTTTCTTCCAAAAATACGATTTAGAAATAAAGTAATAAGCAAAAAATTGCACAATCTCCATGAACAACTACTTAAATTGCTACGGAAAACAGAGAAATAAGCAAATTATTAAAAAACAAAGAAAAACTAAACAGTGTTATAATAAGAACATTGGATATGAATATTGATTATCAATATGAGATACAAGACAATGATTTGATAATTTTGCCATATCAACATGTTTAATTGAATACGTTTTTTTCTGTAACATGTAAAAACATTTAAATGTACTACTGAAGGTCTTAACGAAGCACATCAGGATGCATACAAAGATCTTTTGGATAAAAATAAAAAGTTAGTCTTTCTTCTATTATATTTGTGGACAAAAGAATAAACTTTTCTCGAATACAGATGAAAGCATGTTTCATAGCGTTTTATTCTTAACTTGTATCCTTCTTTATGTTAGTGCCAACAATGAATTATGTTTTCATATTTTATTAACAAAGATATTTACATCAGAGAACGAGAACATTACGTCAGAGTAATGTATGCTAAGCTTCCTAACAAGCATCACCATTTTGGTACGCGTACAAAAGTTTCTCGCAAATGTTTGTTTCTGTAACTTTTATATCAAACATATTTGTTCTGGAGGCTATCGGTAGGTAGGCATGCAACGGTAATGGTAATTTAACGGTTTAACGTTACCGTTTAACTGGTCTGACTCATTTTACCATTACCATTCAACTAGTAGTTTTTAAAAGACTTAACTAACATTTACTAAGGGAACTACTTCTGCTTCGATTTTTATTTAATTAATAATTAAAAATTAAAACTTTTAATAATAAAAAATAAAACTGCCATTTTCTCCATCAAGGAAGAATTTTTGAGACTTGAGTCTGGAACATTACGAACAGTAAATTTAATTTTATAACTTTTTTGTCCTGCAGTCGGAACTTAGCAGAAACCGGACTTCATGATAAAAAGCGGTTTTTGTGTTTTTCAGCTGAAAATTAGAAAATTAAATTTCCACAAAACTGTCTCCAGGCTCCAGTTTGAGAAATAATGCCTTCGTAATGAGCAGTTGGAAATTAGCAAAAAAGTGGCTTTTCTTATTGTTCCCTGTGAAGGCATTGTTTTCAAACTTGAATCTAAAGACAGGAAACTTTAATTTCCTTTGTGGCAACTTTAATTTCCTAATTTTCAGCCGCTGTACACAATTCTGTACAACTCGATCTTCATGGGGGAAAACACAAAATATCGTCTCTTATCATGAAGTCCGGGTTCTAGAAATCCGGCTGCAGCATATATATTTTAAGAAAAATTAAGTTTACTATAATTCATGTTCCAAGCTGGCGTCTCAAAAATGCTTCTTCATCTGATTTTATCTGTAGTAGTTTCGGTCAACCGACAATCAAAAAAGTAAAACTGCTAAGACCAGAAAAAGACACACACATATCTACATCTTGCCTTAACGAACGAATTTAATATCAAATATTTGCCCCTTAGTGAATGGAGTATACTATGTTTCTTCTTCTGAGCATCTGTGTTATGCCCTGCGATTTCTCGAGTTACATATAGCTATCGAGACACAAAATTTCTCAATAATACTAACGAGGGACCTCTCCAGATATCCAGCGCCGACTTCAATGAACTTTTGCCTATAGATAATATATAGTATCCTAGTAAAAACCCTAAACGGATTTCGGATCTTACTGCTTCTTTCAAAAGTTATCAATTTTTTATTTTACCCATATAGCGCATAACATCAATTATTAAAAATCTTATAACTCAATTAAAACACAGTATGAAAGGCTGAAAATTTTTTCTGTGGTAGTGCTGGATGTCTATTATAATCAGCAGAACTTCCAGCCTTCCATCACTATTCCTTGCTAAGTTTTAAAATTTTCTGTTCTTGAGAAGAATCCATATGTTCCAGAAAAGTGATAGAAAACAGTATGGATCGATAAGTTTTACGAAGAAAGGTAGTTTGGGTTGGTGAGCTAGTTGGCCTTTCATTCTGACGAACACGGTCAAGACGCGAAACAAAGCCACCACAAAAATTTACATCAACTCAACCTAAAGAAAAAATTGATGTTTACCTTTCAATACAGTTTGAAGAAAATGATGCTCAGCAAATAGTTAAAAGATCAAGTGTAAAACAAACCAGAAGCGATGGAAAAATAACATTAAGAATCAAAAATGAACAAAAATTAGCAATGCAAGTAACAACTGGTAAGAGTTAGTTATTCTCATGTTTGCTGTTGTCCAAACTGTATTTTTTTAATCAACTTTAGGTGCATATCAACGTTGTGAAGAACGAATGAGGAAAGAAATGAAATTAGCACAACAAGGTGATGAAGAAAAGAATGAAGATAACTGTTTTTTCATCCCATCTTCTTTGCCCGTCTTCATTGTCTCTTTTTTTTGTTTTAGAAAGTGACCAAGCAGAGCTCTGCAGGTTGATCATAACCTAACCTAACCTTTAGGTTAGGATTAGGTTGCAAAAGTTGTAGGCTAGGTTAGGTTATAGGTTGTTCTACTTTTTTTTCAGTGGTTAGGCTAGGATTAGGTTGTGAAATTTTTTATAGGTTATAGGTTGCCAAACATTGGCAATCTGCAGGGCTCTGCCATCAAGTACATCAGAGTCATCATCACAGTATTTACATCCTTCTGGTTATGATTATGCTAATATTTTCTCCGATTAGAAAATTCCTCAATATTTCGTTTTTTGTCTTTTAGAATCTTTATTACCACGAACACAACTTGTTATCGATACATCTATTAACGATAATGATCGTCGAGGTGAGTTTTGTAATTTTTCTTTGATTCCCCCATATAACGGTTTTCTTCTTTTAAATGTTAGATAGTTTTGATGATTTTTTTCTTGAAGAACCATCATTGAGTCATCAAAAGCAAGGTAAGAACAGTATTTCCTGGCCACAGTTGTGTAATTTAGCAATTTTAGATCCACCAAGTCATCCATCATCCCCAAGAAGAGTTCCAACACAAAAAAATTATACTGCTTATCATAAACGTTGTCATCGTACTCGTACGCAAAAGTTATTTTTGAAGTTTTCTACGTTTATTTACTCTGCTTTTTTATTTTTGTTGTAGTTTTTCATTCTGAAGAAGAGGATGAAGATATTAATACTCCTGGTAGTCGATCGCAATTAAATTATAATCGACAACAAGATAATCGCTCTCAACATTCAAGTAGTCGAAATCAACGAGCAAGAAAACAGAAGAACAATATATCAAAAGGTATGTTTGCTCTATTTAAGAAACTTGACTGACCTTTACGTTTTTTTCGATTTTTACAGCACCAATACCAAAACGAGCAAGTATAGCTTCTGCTTCACCAGGAACACCATCAAAGAATCGTTCAAATCGACGAAAAGATGAAGAGGATGAAAATCTGCGTATGTAACATGTCAGTAATTTAAAG